GCCCCCTTCTGGCGCGATGAATAGATCTATGATAGAGGCAGGGTATTGAACGGTGACCAAAGGCAAAATTGGGGCTGATAAGAGGAAACATTGCATTTAATGGTTTCCAGATGATGAGAACAATGTACAGTAAGGGCACAAAGTGTGAGATTCATAGAAAAGTTTTCCTAAGAATATTTCCAATCCTTTTCTCACACAAGAGAAAATGGGTTAGGGGCGTTGGGTATAACTTTATGGAACAAAGGGGGCGGTGGATCGAAAAAGTTTGAGAATCACTGGTCTAGACCATAGTTTCACCTGAAGTCTGCTAACATAAATCCATTAGAGGGATCAGAGAATGAAAGAAAACGAAGGATGTCTTTTTTATAAGTGGAGAAGCTCTAGAAGTAACCAATAATGATGAAACCAGAAAAGAAAAATCAAGTGTTAGTAGGGAGAATAAATGAAGAGACCATAGCAAGAAATATTAATTTTTAAATTTTCAAAAACCACATTTTCATACTGGTATGTAACCTTAAAATTCATGAAAACTTCAGTCCAATATTGGGCAATAATTAATTAGTCACTGATACCTAATTCTAGGCCAATTTTCATTCAACATGCTTATCCCACAATGATCTTTGTTCAAAAACTGTTTTTAGTTTTTCCTTTCTCCAAAATACAATAATTTTTTTTTAATTTTTAAAATTANTTATTTATCTTGATCATCTATATTTACATGAGATATATATATATATATAAGAGAAAATAAAGATAAGGAACTTATCAATTGATGTAGGGTACAATACATGAGAAAATAGGTATGAGTTAAAAGTACTGACAATTTCAACTTAATGACTGTATTATATAGAAATTTCTATATACTGTGTCTGGAACCTATAGACAGTTTCAAGTTAATGAAGTTTGACTTAACAAGGTTTTACTATTAAACATTTTACAAAGAAAAAACAAATTCTTATTCATTTATCTATTTAATCATGAAAATAATTTATTATATTACTCACCCAATATTAATATCTTGCCAAAGCCATGAACTATCATAAAGTCTCTGAACACGATTAAAACGTTTAAGACGAAATTTTTCCAAATCTAAAACATTCTGAGTTGGACCTAAAATAATTCAAAATATTTACTTCACGAAAATTAACACAATTTTTATAATTTATGCTTTGAAACATCAATAACAAGCATAGATTTGCATGCAGATGCAGCAATGTTTTCAAATAATTATTTCAACTGTCATGTAAAATGGACGTAAACCAGATATCTAATAAAAAATAAAATAAAGTATTAATTTTATTCATTTCAGAGTTAATATATAAAAACAATTAAAATTCATTCTTACTTCAACAGTTTTAGAAAGTACTCCAAATCCATGAACACTGTTCATTCCAAAAGCACTAATAATCCAGTGAGTTGATATTGAAGGAACGGGAATTGTAAATATGTAATGACCTAAGGGACTAGAAAAGTTTTTTTTATTATTGTTGATTTTACATTCTTAAAATTTCTATCAACCACACAAAGTTGGTTTTTGTCTATAACAATTCATATATTGAACAAAATGTATTTAGATATCACAATTAAATAGATAGCAGGGGTGAATTCCCTGGGCTTGCTTAGAATGCCCAGAGTCAGTCCTTGACACTGGGCCCCCAGTGTCAAAGGTTCACAAAAATTGAATTATCATCAAAAATTTTTAATACTTTTTCATTATAATATATTTCATGTGTAAATATAATAGGCTTTATACTAGTCCATACTTTTTTATTCACACCAAATAACGTTTCTGCCTATTGTTTAGTGCTAGAGATAGGTCTATTATTCTTATTAAAACTTTCAGCATGCTCAAAAATTTTTGTCAGGATTTGCCCGATAGATGGTATAATCTTATAATGGAATGTTTGGTTCTGTGATTTCTGTGTGATTTTTGAACACAAAATAGATTTATTACAGTATAATATTCTGAAACTCCTTAGAGCTTAAAAACAACTTTTGTAGGTTATTAGTCAGAGACATTTTAAATATTAAATAGATCTGATACTCACTTTTGTCTTTAAGAAACTATCTGTACATTTTGACATGCTTGTTTATTTCATCTTGTAAATGTTTTATTCTTTTTTTTTGTTTATACTTTGTGAGTTCAGAAATTTATTAAATGAATGTATAAGATCATAACATAAAGTATATATCTTTAAATTTCACAAAATAAATCAAAGAATAACTGCTGTAATATTGTTGTCTTATTTATAATTTTAATACAAAATTGACTGCTAATAACTAATTATATCAAAAATAAACAAAGATCACTAAGAATGAATGAAAAATCTTGTTTAATAATGAATTATACAATACATAACTTTTTAACAATTCTTTAATGATGAGTTATGAACAGTAGTTCAAGAAAGAAATATGTCAACTTTCAAAATAGTTTTATAAATAATATATTTCATTGCTTGTTGAGAGCCGAAAAAATAACGTATTCAAATGAAAGTAAAAATATAACTGAAAAGCTGCTTAACGTCTGCCTATTATTTCACAATCATATCACTTGCACTTTTACAGCTATGCAGAAGTGCTAGTGCTATACTTTGAAATACAGGGATCCTTCATATAGTTTAGATTTGTTACTATAAGACTTCCATATCTTCAGGTTTCTTAAAAAGTATTTGAAGTATTATATCAGACAATGAAGTGAAGCAAATTCCTATTCCTATCCCGACAGTTGGAATTATTCTTTGTAGCCATTTTCCATTATCTTGTTGAAAGATGAAAGCGAACATATACTATTCTAGTGTACAGGTCTCACTTTCATTTAGACATTCTCAATAATATGTTAGTAATAAAAAAGTTTTTGTCAAATGATAACAAATTTTTATTCTGTCTTATGAATGAAATGAAGTAATTATTATGTAAAAGAAATTTAATGAAAGATCTTACTTGTTAGAAGAAATGATTTGGTACAATGATCTTAGATAAACATATCCAAGTTTTACTTATCTAAAATTCATTATTCTATGTAAAATATTTTTAAAAAATTCAAATATGGATCAAAAAGTGATAAATGCTTGATCTGACATCTCCTACTGATATAACCACTTCATTACTGATGCATGCAAATAATGACATCAGAGAAACTTGGTAACTGTACCATTCATTAAGTTTTATGCATGCAGCCCATAGCCAACAGTACATAATACAGTAAAACCATGTTAAGTCAAAGTTTAAGGGGTAAAAAAAATCCTGACTTCAAGTTAAAGAGTTTTGAGTTAATATCCAATTTTTCCAAATTTTTTTGTGCCCATGAATTTTCTGTTATCAAGCAAATCCCAAGAATCTTTTCACAGAACAATTACAAAATTCTATATAGTTTATTATGTTTTTGAGTATGTTGTCAAGGTATCCCCTTTTTCCCCATTCAGATTGCCATTAATATACTTTATCAGTAAAAGGATGTTGATAGGAGATTGTAATGGTGTGGTATTGTGTTCAGCATGGAGACATACGGCTTATTTATCTTGATCATCTATATTTACATGAGATATATATATATATAAGAGAAAATAAAGATAAGGAACTTATCAATTGATGTAGGGTACAATACATGAGAAAATAGGTATGAGTTAAAAGTACTGACAATTTCAACTTAATGACTGTATTATATAGAAATTTCTATATACTGTGTCTGGAACCTATAGACAGTTTCAAGTTAATGAAGTTTGACTTAACAAGGTTTTACTATTAAACATTTTACAAAGAAAAAACAAATTCTTATTCATTTATCTATTTAATCATGAAAATAATTTATTATATTACTCACCCAATATTAATATCTTGCCAAAGCCATGAACTATCATAAAGTCTCTGAACACGATTAAAACGTTTAAGACGAAATTTTTCCAAATCTAAAACATTCTGAGTTGGACCTAAAATAATTCAAAATATTTACTTCACGAAAATTAACACAATTTTTATAATTTATGCTTTGAAACATCAATAACAAGCATAGATTTGCATGCAGATGCAGCAATGTTTTCAAATAATTAAATGCCAGAAATGAATATTATTATTTAATACATATAGCAATAATACTTATGTTGTTATTTAAATTTGATTCATTAATTTTTTGAAGCAATACATTCAATTAATTTATATACAAAATAAGCAATTTACATAACTTTTCAAATTTGTACAAATAGCAATTTTTAAAAATTTTCAAATGAAATAGTTTGAAATAAATTTATTATGATTATTGCTGATTGTATAATAAAAATTTTGCAGCATTTCATCCACTTATTAAATAAATAAATAAATAAATAACCAAAAAGTGCAAAAAGAATATAATACTCTACATTGGCATGACTGTTGTAAAATAAAAATGGTTTTTCGCATACCTTATTTATATTTTAAGGATTAAATAGCAACAAATATTGGATTATATGCAAGCTTCCAAAATGTTAACACACTGATAAGACCGTTTTATGTACTTACGTCTGCAAAAGACTGATTATGAAGACCTCAAATGGAAGGCGTGTTGAAGAGAATTGGACATTTCAAAAATATTATAATCTATATTTACAATATTTTTATATATACTAAAAATAGTATTTTGAATAAATTTTCTGTAATATATTACACTTAAATATTGTTTAAAAAGTGATTTTATTAATTAAAAAACAAATTATTATTTATATATTATTTCAATTTTAATAATTTAAAAGTATTATTATGAATAATAAAAATCATATTATATTTTAAAAATTAAATCAAGAAAAAATTTTTAATAAAGATCATCAACTTACATCCACTTTCATCTGATTCATCATCACAATCCTTCATTCCATCACATAGTTTTTGTAGTGGATAACATGAAATTCCATCCATACAAGTAGCATATCCCTGAGATTGATCACAATATTCTAATGATAAAACGAATATAATAAAACAATTTGATATAAAAAATGAAAAAAATAATTAATCAATAAGGACTAATAAAATAAACTTATTATAAAATGTAAAGTATTGCATTTTCATTCTATATATATACCATAAATCCTCACCTAATTGTTCATGGGTGATTAGGTGAGGCTTTATAGTCCTTCACAATGATGCCTCATCTACATACCTCCTATGTACTCACTCACGTATTTATTTGAAAATATATATGGCATCACTGCAAATCAATAATACCATACAAAAACAATCAAGATATAATAATAGATAAGCTAGCAACATATTTTGACTTCTAATCTCCTCAAATAATCTTTTTTTTTTTTTTTCTAACTGAATGGAGATACTACATCAAAGAAAAATCTGGTATTCATCAAGATGCAAATTTATACAACATAGAAATCAAATAACAGAGTAACCTTGACTCAAATTAACTAAAACTCAATTTAAATTTTAAGTTCTTATAAAATTATTAAATGTAATTCATTAAAACAATGATAAAAAAATATAAGTTGAAATAAATAACAACTACCAATAATAATAAAAATAAATGATAACTCCAAATTATTGATAAGTTAAAAAAATGCTTTTAAATAGAGTAAGGAACAATAAATTAATAAAAAAAATTAACATTAATTTAGGAAAATTGAATGTTCTATTGTTTGTTAATTTACTATCTTTCAAATTCCATTAAAAGCATTTTTTCTATTTCCATAATAATAACTAAAATTATTTTAAAATCAATTACCTGGACGCTTTGTAATATTTGCATCAGTAAAAATGATTAAACCTGCAAACTGAATACAGAGAATTTGTTTATTCATTTTTAAAAAAGTTTAGAAATGTGATCATGTAAATGCAATATAAACAATACCTCAAATGTTCTATTGGTATCAATGCCATAAGTTGAAGAAGGAAAATGAACAATCTTTCCAGGACTGCCAATGCTAGAATGCCACATATGTGAAAGAGTTCCATTCATTGCTTCATCAAAAGTATTCATTTTTCCTAATACCTAACCATAAAAATTTAGTTTAATTACTATAAATAAAGGTTGAAAAAAAATGTCTCTTAACTATTACTGAAATTAAATTTTGAATATGAAATAACAATTAACTGGCAATATTAAATGTAAAAAAATTACTGTTTACAATGAACAATAAATGATTTTGGTTTTATAATGAAACAAATAAAATATTGTTACTTATTTAAGTAAATGCCAAACTTATAAGACAAGTAATTTTTTTTTATATGGTAGCTGCTATTTCATTGTGAATGTGTCTCTTTAATCCGATTTTCAGTTCGGTAGACTATCATTTACAGCTTTCAGGTTAGGAACTTCTTTTATTGGTTTGTCAAATGCATTTCGGACTTATTTGTATTTTAAGTCCCTCTTCTGAAAATCGGATTAAAGAGACACATTCACAAGTGATTTTTTTTTATATGCTTAATACTATTGGCTAACTGAACTCAAATTTGTTTTAACAAACTCAATAATAGAATTTAAAATTATTGATTTTAAGTAGGTAGAGTGTTCATACTATCCAATTCAAATATTAATTTTAACAACTGTCATTTGGTAAAAATTGAACTTATGTATTTCTTTTTATGTATATTAGTCATATTATAGTATATAGTATAAAGACATTAGAATTTATAATAATTTTAAACCGTTTTATACTTGTTATGGTATATATTTTGTGAAAAACTCTTATCTGTTATCAGTGAAAATTTCCATTAGCTTTTACAATATATAAAACAGAATTCTGTTTTATAGATTAATACTATTGATACTTAGAAATGTTTCTATTTAAAATACCTGTGCATGAGTTAACTCATTTCCTGTATGCATGCTATATAAAACTCTGTCTACTGCTGATAATCCAACATAAGTTCCAGGTTTCCCTTTAATTATAACTTCAACGGTATTTAATGTCTTATCCTTTCTTTCATTTAATGTTACTGTAAACTATAAAAACATATTGTTTAATAATAGTAAATGATATTTTATTTTTTTATAGTATAAAGCTAATTTATTTACATTATTTCTTGATATTCCATCCACAGGAAATGTAAGACTATCACAGACAACTATACCTTCTCTTGCTATATCATAAACAACTATTGTTGCTGAAGGTGACATTTCTGCAGCAACAGTTATTGCAAAGGTCTTAATAGTTGAAATCATCTCTTCATAACCAGATAATAATATCATTCCTTTGGAAAGTATCTGTGATATAAATTTAGTTTAGTTTATAATTTTTTATAGTATATATATGATAATTTAAAAAATCAAAAAACTTACAACATAAAAAAATTTCTGTACATAATAATCAGCTCTTACGTGAAAAATTATATATTCTCCCACCTAAATAAAAAAATAATAATTAAACTATTTTTTTAATAAACAAGATATATCTTATTAGAATTTCATTTAGTGAACAAATATTTGTTATCTATTCTATCTAAATATCTATCATAACACTAAAAATAATTAACCGTAGGTTGTAAGAGAACATAATCAGGTCTTATAATCCACATCATTGATTCATGTTTGTGTATTTTCTTCAAATTTAAGCTAATACTTAAAAATATTTTTAAAGAAATAGTTCAAAGAAATTATGCCATCTTTTGAAGAAGTGAACATTACAAGAGATTGAATTTACTGTATATGATTATTTTTAAAAATTGTAATAAATTATATCAAGTTGTTATGTTAAACAACACAAATATTCAAGACTTTTTTATTTAAATTGATAAACTTCACATAAGATAACAAAAACTACACACTTTCTAACCAGCAAATGTGTTTAATAAACCAAGTAAATAAATACTTTTGACCTTTTGAAGGCCCTCCTCAGGTTATTACATTGAACAAAAATATATTGTTCAATGTAATAAAAAATAAATATATAAATGGTCAAGAGAATTCAAATAGATAACTTGAATTTTACAAAAAGTCATATAGTTCCATGATTGGCTCTTGTACAAATATTGTCAGAGCCTTAACATAGTTACCCTAACAAACAATGTTGATCTATATTATCCCCCAGGATTAAACAGAGTAAATTTAACAAATAATATTCATAGGGATCTTGAGAAGGCATGTGTATGCCTCTAACCTCATAAGCCAAAGAATCTCACACCAAGACTTCATGAGCTAAAGATGGTTCCTTGGTCCTTAAAATTAATTATCTTGCTATTTTAGTGGATTTATATATCTCCAGCTCTTCTGTATGTTTTATACAGAACATCTTTTGAATAAAGTTTACTCACTTATGTAATACTTTTAATTTGCATTCAAATGTTTGTTAATAAATCAGAAATATGAAAACATTACATTTTTTAAATTAATAGAAATAGTAATCAAATCAATTAAAAATTAAACTTAGTAGCAGTTTTAAGTTGTACAGATCACTTTTATTTAAGTTTGTATAACAAAGAATTAATCATATGATACTGTAATACTACATTTATTGATGAAAGTTAATCACAATAAGATTTAGTCTGATTAAGTTAACTTGGAATAATGAGAATAGGTGAAGACAGTGTTTGTACTGAATACAACTTGATTTAGAATAACATGACATCATTCTTCTAATTGTTAATTCCAGCAAAGGACTAATGATATGACTCATGTCACTAGTCCATTTAAAGAAGATTAATTCAGTTGAAGAAAGGGTGTTAAAATATTGATCAGCATTTGTAAGTCTGTTCTGTTTAGATGAAAAATGAACAGTCACAAACAAAACCTTTCTACTGTGGTGATACACCAGTTGTTTTTTTTTATATATATTTATATTTTTGTATTAAGCCTAGGATTAAGTTCTCTCGATCTTTTGTTTAACCCTTCCTCGTACTTCCTAACGGTCCTGTTTCCCTGCTGGTGGTGAAACATTTCTAAGAACTACACTGGAAAACAAGGGTGTGGAAGCAGGCCCCGAGGCAAGGAGAGAAAGGGGAGAGACACTTTCGAGCTAGCGTTGGGAGAGGACGGACAGGCGAGGAGATCCTGGTGGCCGTAACGAAGGAAAAAGGAGCGATAGGAGGACAAAGAGAGCGAGACATCGCAAGAAGGACGGAAGATCATCAGAGTGCATTTTCATCGATGTGAGTGGACTCTAAAGAAAGAGAAGAGACCCGGGTACCCCACCAGCAAACTTTCCCTTATTTCTCTTATTCTTAATATTAATATTTTTCCTTAATTCTACTGTCTCATTTAGTATATAGATTAGGTTAAGTTAGGATAAGATAGGTTAAGCACAGATTAAAATTGTCGCGAAGTATTGTTGCACTCTCTTTCCGATATCATTATATGTTACGCGAGTTATATGTATCGGAGTTGGGACCACTGAAATATTTGTATACTAGCACGAAGAACAATAAAACTATTGTTGTAGACGACTTTCTTTGTGTTGTCCATCCACGTGCTCTCCACAATGGCGTCCGCGACAGGATCCCAACAATAATAGAGGTGCACAGTCTTTAGTCTATGTACGTAGGTGATACATATTGTAATTTATAATCGGTTTAGTTAGGTTTCTTATTGTAATATTATCATATTGTATGCCAAGTATGGACAACCAAATCGGAAGTTCGGTGGTAACAGAGAATGTAAGTCAAAACCAACCATTAATTATTACAGGGTTCTTAGGTATGATTCCCATGTTTTCGGGAACTCAGAATGATAATATAAATATAAAACAATTCTTCAATACCATCGAAAATATTGCCTGTTTAGCAGGGTGGGGCAATAATGTTAAAGTTGCTGTGTTGCAAGCGAAATTGAAAGGTGAGCCCCTAACTACGTTTATGTGCCTCCTGGAACAATATCCCGGGTCATATGATGAAATAAAACGGGATTTAATTAAATGTTTTAGTAAAAAAGAGGACAGTGGCAAAATTATAGTTGACCAACTCTTAAACATAAGACAGAGGAATGGTGAATCTGTGACTGATTTTTCGGTTCGGACGAAGACGTTATTAGCCAGGGCAGTTAAAGGGAATAATAAGTTAAGCATGTTCCGTGATGATATAATTATGGAGCGTTTTATACAAGGCCTAAGAGGTAACATAAGGGGGAATGTCTTACGGAGAGCCCCAAAAACGTTAGAAGAAGCTTTCGACATAGCTGAACGCGAAGAGAATATAGAGAAGTATAGCGATAGTCGTTTTGAACACAAGGGAGTAAATATGGGAGTCAAGGAGGAAGTTAATGAGATGATAGGGAAGTGTGAAGGTATAGAAACTCAAAAGGAGAAGATAGATGAAAGGATGTCAGGGTTAGAGAAGAAACTCGATACACTAGTCGAGGCAGTTAGTATGCTTTTGAGTAAAGAGGATAAGGAGAGGAAGGTTACTGATAGGAAATGTTACACGTGTGGTAAGGAAGGCCATTTTGCGCGGAATTGCCCAGATCGTAGGGATAGACCGTTAAACTAAAAGAGGAGCGTCACACGGGCCAGCATGAGGCTCCTTGCATTAAAATAAGACTGGCTAATGAGGTATATTTGTCACCTAAGGGACTTCCTATCGTTGAAGGAACGGTAAATGGGATAAAATTTTGCTTCCTCATAGACACGGGCGCTGAAAAGTCAATAATGAATCTAGCGGCCATCGCTTGCATACCAGAAAGGAGCGTAGTTAGGGCAACTATCGAAGGTGAATTGTTGGGAATAAGGGGTATAACGGGCGAAGTGACGGAGTGTGAAAGAACCATACATGTGGACATTGATTATGATAACCAATCGAACAAAGTGACGGTCGCATGTATGAAACTGCCTAGACATGTAGATTATGATGGGGTGCTGGGAATGGATATTGTGCACAAGGTATACAAAATCATCGAGAAGGTCAGGATTGCTGTGCAAGATACTGTTACGAACCATGAAGGACTCATGAGTCCGTATGACGATTTTAGTAATGTTAAACAATTGGCAATTCAAGGGTTAGACGGTTTGTCGATTGAGGAAAAAGATCGCGTGTATAATATATTTAGGAAACATCCCAACTGTTTTGCTGAATCAATAGAAGAGTTGACGGGTATGATAGGTGAAACGCATAAACCCATTATTGATCAAACCAGACCGATAAGTACACGTCAGTATAGGATCCCCGAGTGTTACTTAAAGGGGTTAAAGTCGCTAATAAATGATTATTTAAAGGCAGGGATCATCGAGGAAAGTTCCTCCGCGTGGAACTCACCGATACACATCATTGAAAAGGAAGATGGCGACATTAGGATGACATTAGATCTCCGGCGGGTAAATGACCTAACAGAGTCCCAAGAATTCCCTGTAGCCCGCGTTGATGAAATCCTAACCAAATTTCATGGGTGCAAGTACTTTTCTGTAGTGGACTTAAAATCAGGGTATTTTCAAATAAATTTAGATCCATCTGTTAGACACGTGTACGCCTTTTCTACTCCGTGGGGGAAATTTCAGATGTGCCGACTTCCACAGGGTGCCAAAAATAGTGGCCGTTTTTTTCAGGCGATTATGTCAAAAATTTTAGCAAGATTTATAGGGATATGTTGTTATGTTTTTCAAGATGATATTGTTGTGTTTTCCAAAACCATAGATGATCATGTAACGGCACTTGACAAAGTCATAGGGATTCTGAATAGGAATAACCTAAAATTACACCCTACGAAAAGTTGGTTTGTTGTAAGTGAAGTAAAGTACCTGGGCCACATTATAAGCCAAGAGGGGATACGTCCCGACAGTAGTAATGTCAGCGCCATATTAAATATGAAACCCCCCATTAATGTGAAGGGAGTACGAAGTTTTTTAGGCATGGTGGGCTTCTTCAGAAGTTTCATACCCAGATTTTCAGGCATTGCCGCACCCTTGACGAACTTAACTAAGAAGGGGAGAAAATTCTCGTGGAACGAGGATTGCCAGAAAAGTTTTGATGAATTTAAATGCATATTGTCAAGTCCCCCTCTGTTAAGACATCCGAACTTTAATTCCCCCTTTGAATTGTACACCGATGCATCCGATGAATGCATGGGTGCCGTCCTAGGGCAAAAGGAGGACGAGATGTTTTACCCTGTAGGATATTTTAGCCGTAAGTTTAATGGGGCCGAAAAGAACTATGCCACAATTGAAAAAGAATGTCTTGCAATAATCTTGGCAGTGCGTCATTTTAAACCAATCGTGTTAGGTCATAAAATTAATTTGTATACTGACCACAAACCCCTCATATTTTTAAATAATATGAACAATCACAATAAAAGATTAATGCGATGGGCAACTGAAATAACGAATTATGATTTAAGGATCAATCATATAAAAGGAAAGAGTAATGAAGTAGCCGATATGCTATCACGACCTAATTTGGGCAATAAGAGATCAGAGAAGGACGTGAGTAGCAACATGATTGACAATAAGGAATTGTGGAAGCAAGTGGTAGAGTCACAAAAGAGGGATGAATTCTTAATAAGGTTGCGTAAAGATTGTAAAAAGACTAATGGTCAAGGGGTTATAAACGGAATACAGCCTGAATTCCAGATAGACGGTGAAATTGTTGTGAATGTGAAGCCAGGTAGGATGGGGCTTAGGAAGTGGGCCCGTGTGTGTGTGGGAAGGGATATGGTTGATCGTGTCATATGGTCCTTCCATAGCTCCAACCTATCTGGCCATTTCGGGGTCAAGAAAACATGTCAAATAATTGATAGGTATTATTATATAAAAAATTTAAAAAGTCATGTCAAACGTGTAATCAGGGGTTGCAAAACTTGCCAGCAGCATAACCTAAACAAAGGCCGGGCTCCATTTCAGGAAACTGAAACTGCTGATCTCCCTTTTCAGAAGGTAGCCACTGACATCATAGGCCCACTAAGAACGTCCCAGAAGGGGAATAAATACATATTAACTGTGGTCGATATTTACACCCGTTATGCTGAGGCAATCCCTATCCCAAATCAAACGTCTAAGGAAATTGCTGAAAAGTTTTTTGACAATATTATATGTCGTTATGGTTGCCCTAATGTCATTATATCTGACAGAGGGGCAAACTTCACTTCGGGTTTGTTCCAAAGGATATGTGATGATCTGGCGATAAAGCACAATGTTACGACCGCCTATCGCCCATCCTCAAACTCTGTATGTGAACGCTTTAACAAAACGATATGTGGAATCATCGCCCGGATATCAATGGGTGACAATTGTAATTGGGACAGTTTTATCCACCCGGCCACGTTCGCTTATAACAACTCAACTCATTCGGCCACGGAGGATTCCCCTGCCTTTCTCTTATACGGGGTTGATCCCCGTTTTCCGAATGCATTCCCAGAAGAAGATGAGGAGGACATCGGTCACCAAGAGAGGAGTCCTGATTTCGTCGATAAATTGAATGTGTTAAGGAAGACTGCATACGAATTGGGGAGAAAGCGGAACTTAAAAAACAGAATGAGAGAAAACAATGGAAAAAAGATTAGAGAATGGAAAGAAGGTCAAAAGGTGTGGTTGCTCCGGAAGGGTAAACGGAAGGGAACAGGGAAATTTTCCCCGAAATATGTAGGGCCATATACAATTGTTCGTTTACTAGGCCCTGTAACAGTAGAACTGAGTGGTAATCGTAGGGAAGAAAAACTGGTAGTACATATTGATCGCCTAAAGGCCTACTACGCCCCAGTGTATAAAGACAAGACGAAAAGAGCTCCGCAACGACGGGAAATCAGGGAAACACCCGTAGAGAAAGATGAGTTGGAAGAAGAAGATCCATATGAACACTTGAGGATGGAGATATCTAACAGAAGACAGAGAGCGGAAGAAGGCAACCACCGATCAAGTGAACCTGAAGTTAATAACGATACAGGGACTGGTCATGATGGTAGTTCTGTAAAAAAACAACACCCGTACAATCTCCGCGGGTGCAAACTTGACTACCGTAAGTTACATTACGGTGTTTGAGACTTGGGGGGGGGGTATGTGGTGATACACCAGTTGTTTTTTTTTATATATATTTATATTTTTGTATTAAGCCTAGGATTAAGTTCTCTCGATCTTTTGTTTAACCCTTCCTCGTACTTCCTAACGGTCCTGTTTCCCTGCTGGTGGTGAAACATTTCTAAGAACTACACTGGAAAACAAGGGTGTGGAAGCAGGCCCCGAGGCAAGGAGAGAAAGGGGAGAGACACTTTCGAGCTAGCGTTGGGAGAGGACGGACAGGCGAGGAGATCCTGGTGGCCGTAACGAAGGAAAAAGGAGCGATAGGAGGACAAAGAGAGCGAGACATCGCAAGAAGGACGGAAGATCATCAGAGTGCATTTTCATCGATGTGAGTGGACTCTAAAGAAAGAGAAGAGACCCGGGTACCCCACCAGCAAACTTTCCCTTATTTCTCTTATTCTTAATATTAATATTTTTCCTTAATTCTACTGTCTCATTTAGTATATAGATTAGGTTAAGTTAGGATAAGATAGGTTAAGCACAGATTATAATTGTCGCGAAGTATTGTTGCACTCTCTTTCCGATATCATTATATGTTACGCGAGTTATATGTATCGGAGTTGGGACCACTGAAATATTTGTATACTAGCACGAAGAACAATAAAACTATTGTTGTAGACGACTTTCTTTGTGTTGTCCATCCACGTGCTCTCCACACCAGCCTAAAATGCGTATTGTCAATTGGAATAATTAGTTTAAAGACTGTAAAGTAAATAAAAAAACAAAATGGATGTGAAAAAATCCAGTGTCTAGTGTCAACACTTCATTGTGTCTCAAAAAATATAACATAAAAAAACCAGTAAACCAATAAGGAGCCATAAATGTTGAAATCATTCCCTCCTTTGGGCATGGTTTCAACATATATATCATTCGCTGTGTTTTTAACAACTTTATTTAGCCTTTTCAATCATAGGTACTTATCCTAGTAGGCTTTATTTTCTGTCGTGAGTATTTTCTCAAAATTGTTCCGGTTTGAGAAGAAAATATTATGGTAAGCCTATCCACTGTTCCTTCTGAAACTGCAGTTTTATATTTGGTAGTTCCATATGTGATACTCTCTTTAGAAAAATCGAAATAAGCACTTGGAACTATTAGTATACGAAATAAAAACAAAAAATAATGTCAAATTAAAGCTACTGATTATTTTACGTAATTTATTGAAATTTTTGAATTTTATTGTATTTTTACCGTAATTTTTTTGTTTTTGTAAGGGTATTTTTATTTGGGATGTTGCAATTTGTTGTTTTGTGGGTATAATTATCAGCCATTTTGGCTTTACATTATATATACTACTGTATTTACTTTTCCAATATTGCAATTATCCTTTAATTCAAATTACAGCTATACTTAATATTGTATTGAAAGATGTTTATAATGGACATGTAGCCGATTAATACATGCTCAAGAATGATATAACCTCTCCCCATTACTCACACACACATATATACACGTATATAAAGCAAAAACGGTTTAAAAAAGCATTCACTT